AAGGTTTGAAGAGCTATATTTAGGTCATTAATGCTTAGTAAAATTTTGGACAAGTTTGTTGTATGTTTGGTTGGTATATTAGGATTGGTGGGCTAGGAAATGAGACATGTATGGTGGATGTTACAGGGAGAATATTTTACAAATGAATGGCATTAATAGGTTATAAGGACAAGACTTGTGTAAAAGATGGTTGGGACGCAAAGTTTGAAGGTCCAACAATAGTGGTGTAGACCGATGGTGGAGTTAATGTCATATTTGAAGATAAGACTCCCATTAAGTTTTGATAAAACCTAGAGGTGGTGCAGCCCATGCATGTAATGAAGTGGGTTACTGAGGAATTGAGAAGTGGGTTCATTTTTGGGATTCCACGATAGGAGGTTTGGTGATGGGATTTGTGGGGGGTTGGTAGCATGGTTGCCGAATTAAAGACAGTTGTAGGTTGGGTTATTTCATTTATAGTGGGTATTGCTATATCAAAGAATTGGGGATTTTGAGACATGGCTATTATTTCCCACAAACATTGATAATTGTTAATGATTTTTTTTAGAGTTTTAGCTGGAATGAGCTAGTAAGGGGTTGAAGGTGAATTGGTCTAAACCTATAACTAGAAAACACGATTAGGGGTGCCGGAGTTGGTTTTCTGAAATGTGTTCTAACATTCAAGTTAGTGAGGTATCTAGGGTTTTAAGGAAAGAATAAGGGGTGAAATGTATAAAGGAAGCTTCAATTAAGGGAAAACTTAGGTATTAGGGTCTTTTACGTTCCTGGTCCTTCTCTGACCCTCTATATAAAATGAAAGGCAGTGACTTGATTGCGATAGTTGACAATTGGTGAGAAGTATATGTGAAGCTAAAAAAAAGTGTACGTGGATAGCTGTAAGCTGTATTTAATGATTTCAGACAAGCATAGTCTACATTTAATAGTCTTAGACAAGTTAGAAGCCAAGTGTTTAGTTTTATGGTGATGCATTGATAGGATATCGATGGGAATATTTGGTGAGCCCTTCTTTGACGAGAGGTGAATTAATTCTTGAAAAGAGGTGATGTGGCAACCAGGTGAATGCTAACTAGGCATACCAAAGAGGCCCAAAAAAGTTGACTATGTTGACCAAGTAAATTAGTGTAACAAAAAAGATAAGCCAAACCTTGAGATCATATAAGAGCACGTCAAAAGTATTCATTCAAATATGTTTATGTTGGACATCATTGAGAATAAAAAATTTAATTACATTTTTTATATTTAAATTTTGAAAAAACGTATGAATTGATACTTAAATAAAAAATATATATAATATTTACTTGAGTTTTTAAATAATGTATTATTTAATTTAATCAAATTCTAATATTATTAATTTAACTACCATATTTGATATCTAACTAGTATAATTTTGTTATTTGCATGCTATATATTAAATAAAAATATTAAATATTTTATAAAAATATCATGTGGATATCATGTAACAAATAATAAGTAGCCGATTCTAAATAATTTTTACGGTTCAAGAAAAAAGTAATTTTTAAATTTTTTATTGAAAATTTATGACGATAATATTTGTGATGAATATATAATTCAATAATATTTATCAAATGTCACATATATAATTAAGTTGATATAATTAATAAAATTAAAGTTCAAAAGTTCAAAATGTAAATTATACATTTTATGAAAATTAAAATATAAATTATATATATTTTAAATACAAGTTTATACATTTTCTCAAAATTTAAATATAAAAATATAGGTAACTCAATCTATAAAATTAAATGGTCTTGAAATTATGTAAGAGCACATTAAAAGAATCCATCTAGGACATCACTTAAATCCAAAAAATTAAATAAATTCGTCTTTGTTACATATGCATTTCACCTTTACATATCCATACATACATATATATTGAAAGAGATATCATACTCACACATGAATTTCAACATGTTTTCCTGCTGCCTTTAGCTTTCTTTTTTACAATTCTTAACCTGAAGGACCACTCAACAAAAAAAAGGACAATGAATTACTTAATCATATCCGACACTCCGACCTACTACAATGATGACAGGAAATCAGTACAAAAACGGAAATCAAGCTATGCATATAATTAATTAATTAATATAAGCTTTAAGTTCTTGCTTAAGTACCCGACAAAAACAAAAGGAATAGATGGCTTTAGAGATTTTCTACAATTTGGGCCCCATACAGTGGATTGAATGTTTTTCATCATTTTTTTTTTTCATTTTAATATATGTATTATTATTTTAACATAAAAATAATAAAAATTTTAATTCAAAAACGAAATGATATAAAATATTGAAAATTTATAAAGATTTATATCTAACATTTAATAAATTATGATTTTTTTTTCATTGTTGTCTCGGTGTTAGAAGCATTGTGATTTTTTGTATTTCATTTTTTGTACAAATCTTAAATTACTTAATTATAAATTTTTTTTAGAAAAAAATTACAAAAATTATAATTTTCAATGAGACGGTTTTGATTTAATTTTTATGTTTTCATATATTTTATATTAATTATTATATGTTTAAGATTTTAATCTTTTTATTATAAATAATGAATGGAAATTTTATGTTTAGACTGTTTTTTTTTATGGCAATAAATTGGACACTTTGAACCATTTAATTGTAAATTATTCTTAAGGGCGTAAGCAAATAGATCTTGAACATAGTAAAATTTATGTTATATTTGATTTGTTTACATCCTTAAATGTCCTCACTTGAGAATAAATTTAATTGTATTATTATTATTATTTTCATTGATGATTATTGATTGTTGATATTTTACATATTTTTCATTTTTTGTAATTTTGTTCATGAAAACTATTTATTTTAAAAAATAAAATTAAAAAAATTAAAAGAGAGAAAATAAAAAATTTCTCCCTTATTTATTTTATTTTATTTCTTTTCCTTCCTTTTCCTTCTTTTCTTTTGTAACTTGTTTTAGGAAAAAAATTTCTAAAAAATGAAAGGAAAAATAAACAAGAGGAAAAATAATAATAAAAAAAACACACTTTTCCCTGTTCTTTTAATTTTTTTTTAAAAATTTTGTCAGTATTTTTCTTTTTTAGAGAAAGTAAAAAAATCCTAAAAAGTAAACTCATAAAAATTTTAAAAATTATGAGTGGCTAATTAAATGATAAACGGCATATGATTAATCTCAATTAACCCAAAACACTATTATAATTAAAAGACTACTTTTAATTATAGTAATAGATGTTTATTTGTCATAAATTTGGTGTTATACATAATACGTTTAATTCCATACTTGGTTTAATACTTAAAATTTAAATTTGTAATTAAGTGCTTAAACTTTGTTTTTTCTATCAATTTGCATACTATACTAGCATCATTAGTTAAATCGGTGACATGTCAGAACATCTAATAAAATGCAGCACATGATAGCATGATGACATAACATTTTTCAGACAATGGCATGTTTTAATTAGTTGCTATGGACATGTAGTCCATTTGATCAACGATGTTAATATTATGGATGAACGATAATAAATTTCAGATACATAATTATGATTTTTTAAATTAAGTTTATGTATTAAATTAAAATTTTGATTAGAATTGGTGCCAAATGTGTAATAACCCTATATAATATAACTTGCTAGATTCAAAAGACAAGAAAATTTTTTGCCAATAAAAAACAAGTATTAGGTATAAAATTTCTTAGATCAAGTTCCTAAGGTCTCTTTAATCAAATAAAAACTAAATTTGAAAATAAAAATTAATAAATTAAAAGATTGCTATTTTTAGTCTTTTTAGATATGATTAATCTTTTCATTTTTCATTGAACTCTATAGTATTATAGACTACTAGTTTAATTATCACCAAAATTTAAAAAAAAAAAAGCTAAATACGAGCTTTTAAGAATTTTCAAATTATATAATTATAGTCGAAGTCATAATATGCAAGTCGAACCTTATAATCATATAAAATTTTGTAATTAGTTCCACGACATTGTCTAATTATTTTTGTATATTCATAATCATGATGAGTAATCATTAGATTAAAAAAATTTTCATTTTTTCTATCAAGCAAAGTTTAAAAGTTCATGAGGGTATTACTCATTATAATGATAAAAATTAATGCTGCCTAAACGTGGAAAATGAGCAACATATGGCAAGGTATCAAGAAAAGGTATCAAGAAATTTCAAGTATATAGAGCAGTCAAATTTAGACCAATGACTAGCCAATCATCCGTCCATAAAATTTAGATGGCTAGCATATTTGGGCAGGGGATAACTCTACTCTAAACTATAAACCAAATTACCAAATAAATCTGTTAATAAGCTTTTATGTTACTAACAGATTATTCGAGAAGCTCTACACTGCAACCATACGAATCGGGAACAAAAAATCTTGACTGTTCTGATGAGTTTCATTTTTTTTTTTTAAATAAATTGATAAAAGGCTTACGTTGAATCATATTCAACCATTTTACATCTAACTTTTGGTAGAGAGCTTCACTGCAACCACTAATCCTCTTCCCTTCTTTCCAAAAAAGACAAAAAAATTCGTGAGATTTTTATTTTTTGATGATTGAGTAAAACAGCATGCACGTTTCACGTTTGACCAATCATTGTACTATTAATTACCTGAAGAATTATTTCAAAAAAAAAAATTGTCCCGAGAATCTCTAGGTGCCATTGATAATTAATTTTAGAGCTTAGTTATACTTGATAGTAAAAATTTTATATTTCATTAATAAATTATATAATGCAATATTATTAACGAATAAACAAAAATTTTATAAATATTTATAATAAATGCATAATTTTTAATTTTTAAAATTTTTTTATTAATAAAATGACATCATATATTTCATTGTATAAACACTATAAAGTGAGTGTGCATCGAATATAATCTTTAATTTCATTGCTTACTAAATTTCATTGAGTTTGGACCTGGATTCCGGAATATACATTATAAGCTCTTCATGCAATCTCCACCCAAAGCCTTCTCCTATTAAAACATATAGGCTTAGATAGCTTGGGCTGTTGCCTTGATTGATTTTTATGATTATTCTTTGTCGTCTACCATGGAGGATGCCGGGCCACCGCTTCTTTCCCCTGGGGCAGTCGACGAGCACAGCCACCTTCAAGAGCAGTTACTTTCTAAGGCTTCAAAGCCCTCATTCTCCTCCACCACTTTCACCCTCGGCACCGATGACATCCCTCCCATCAACGGAATACGCGACTTCTTTAGAGAATACTTGATTGAGTCCAAGAAGCTTTGGTTCCTTGCTGGCCCCGCCATCTTCACCTCGATCTGCCAATACTCCCTTGGCGCCATCACTCAAGTGTTTTCTGGTCAGGTTGGCACTCTGGCTCTCGCCGCCGTCTCCGTGGAGAACTCTGTCATCGCCGGTTTCTCCTTCGGTGTCATGGTACGGCAATTAATTATTAATGATGGAGAGGATCAACTTCCACAACGAAAAATTTTTTAGCTTTACAATTTTTGTTAATTATTAATTTCAATAAAATTTTTTTTCACTTAACTCTCTTATTCTTTAAATTTATTAAAATCAATGGATATAAAAATATTAAAATATGTAAAACATTTTTTTTGTGGAACTTCAGAGTTCATATATGAACTTGTTTTTCTCATTAAAGACAAAAACTTTAAATTTCCATTTCCATTGTTAAGAGTTTGGTCCGCTTAGTTCCTAATAAATAATAATATTAACTACAATATATACTTGATTAAATTTGGATAAGCTTGGCATGGGAAGCGCACTGGAAACTTTATGCGGCCAAGCGTTTGGAGCAGGGCAGCCTGATATGCTAGGAATATATATGCAAAGATCATGGGTCATCCTCAACTCAACGGCTTTGATTCTAAGCTTGTTATACATATTCGCGGCCCCACTTTTGAAGCTAATAGGCCAAACAGCAAGCATATCCAAGGCAGCCGGAATATTCTCAATATGGATGATACCGCAGCTGTTTGCTTACGCTTTTAATTTCCCGATGGCAAAGTTTTTACAGGCGCAGAGCAAGATGCTGGTGATGGCGGTAATAGCCGGTGTGGCCTTGGTTTTGCACATCATATTCAGTTGGCTCTTGATGTTAAAACTGGGATGGGGTCTTGTAGGGGCAGCCATTGTATTAAATGCATCGTGGATTTTAATCGATGTGGCTCAGTTCTTGTACATTATTGGTGGTAGTTGTGGGCGCGCTTGGACCGGCTTGTCTTGGAAGGCTTTTCAACATTTGTGGGGATTTGTTAAATTGTCTTTAGCTTCAGCAGTGATGCTCTGGTAGGTAAATTATAACACTGATCACACTACATACCAATGTTTTAGTCTGATAAATAGTATTGGAATTTTTTTTAATATTTGACTTAGATTCAAACAAGTTTAGTCAAAAATAGCGCTATTTGATCGGACAATTTACATGAAAATTTTTAAGTGAAGTTTATAAAATTATTTTTTAAAAATGATTTAATAAAAATTTCAAACTAATAAATTGATAGAATTTAATGTGAATATAAATAATATGTAAAAAAATTATTTATAATTTTAATTTGATCGGTATTTATTTAATGATAAAAATTTTATTAATATTTTTACTAAAAATATTTATCTAAATATATACATAATTTTTTAAATTTTTTTAAAATTTACACGTTTAATCTATTGATTTTGATTTCTGATTTTAATTTTTATTTAATCATTTCTATAAGAAACTTCACAAACTTTTTCTAAAAAACTTTATCTAAATCTTTCCCTATTTAATCTTACACTTTTGGCCTTACTATAGTTGACGCTTAATGAAAATTTATTTCCGTAAATCATGTGCAGTTTAGAGGTGTGGTATTTTATGGCATTGATACTCTTCGCTGGATACCTAAAGAATGCAGAAGTGTCTGTGGATGCATTGTCCATCTGGTGAGTAATTATTAGCAGTATTAATTTGATCAGTAGATGCCGGTTGTTGAAACCAATTACTGTAGCTGAATTTCAAATCTTAAAATCTATTCAATTATTATTATTCTAAACTAATAGGCATTTGGATTCAAAAGTAGATGGTTCATAAGAAATCATACTTTCATTTAATTGATTTATATAATATTTTTTAATGAGTGATATTTAATAAATTTAGAATTTAAATTTTTGTATTTTCAAATTATAGCATTCTTTATAAAAAAAATAATAAGTTGGTGAGTGATAATTATTTAAATAAAATTTTCAAATTGACAAAGTCAGGCCGTCATAGTCTACAAATAGAACTTGTAATACAATTAGTACTACTTAATTTGCGGCCTGAGCTTGACTGAATCTGCTTAGGTCTCCTGAAAGTTTCCAATCCTTTATGGGCAAAAAATTCCAAAAGCCAATAATAATAATAATAACATTAAATAATGCTTACTTACTTGAGGAAAAGAAGAAGGTTAAAGAGAAGACAAAGTTGGAATTAATCTGGTGCCAAGTTTTAGTAATATAAAGTCTGGTGGTGGCAGACGATGATCACACGTTGTCGTCTCATTGAATTTGAAGCCTGTCGCGGTTGTTAGAGTTGGCAATTAAGCATTGACGTATGCATTTATGTCATATGGACAATCACATAAAACTGTCCGTAAGCCGGTCGGATTCATAAGTTCTATGGCCATCTCTAAATGATAATTCCAGTTATTTTGGTCTATTTATTATTAAGATGAAAAATTTTTAATGTTAACATATTAATATTTTTTAAAAATTAAAAGACATTTTTATTATTAGATAATATTTCTTAGTATATTTTAGGCAAAAAGTTAAAAAAAACCCTTAAACTAAAATTTAATAATCATCTAAACCCTTATTAATATTTTATAATTAATTAAACCTTCAAACATTTATTTTCATTAATTGAGCTTTTACTAGAAGAAAAATAATTAACTGTTTTTGTCTAATCGATGATTTAATTGAGTAAAAATAAATGTATAAGGCTTTAATTGGATGAAATATATATATATATATATATTTAAGAATTCAATTGATTTAAAATAAAAATTTTAAGACTTGATTAATTATAATAACTAAGCTTAAATAATTATGAAATTTTTGTTTAAGGGTTTTTTCTTACCCTTATGCCTATATGTTATCTAAGGCCGAACACAAATCCAGCTAGACAAATCCACACATATTCACATTTTTCTTCTAAAAAAAATTATTTTAAATATCGATCAAACTCTGTCGTAAGTAAAAAACTATCTAGAAAGATTTAATTGTAATAAAGCCAGGTAATTAAAGTATGATTTTAACACCATGATGCCTTAATTTAGTGGTAAGGAAAAGGTTTTAAAATCTTAAGGTTTTAATTTCAAGTTTAGTGACTTTGGTTATTTATTTATATTTTAATTTGTTAGTTTGTTTTTTAATAATTATAACTTAATTATGATCTAATAATTGATTATATAAAAGTGATATTTGATTATAATTGTAATTTTAAAAAATATGGTTTTAACAAGGTATCATCTAATGTAGCACTATATTATAATGTAAATTAACTTATTGTTTTACCTTACAAACAATATATAATTCCGGGCTGATGAATTTTGCAGTATGAACATATTGGGATGGACAGTCATGATAGCTTTGGGAATGAATGCAGCTATAAGGTATACTTAAATTTACAGAGAGGGACATTTTGGTAGGCATTTTGATAATCTGATTTTAATTATGTGAAAAATGTATGGACAATTGCAGCGTAAGAGTTTCCAATGAACTGGGAGCAGGGCATCCAAGAACAGCAAAATTTTCATTGGTGGTGGCCGTCGTCTCTTCCTTTCTAATTGGTGTCATCATCTCCCTTATTCTCATCATCTTTAGGGATGAATATCCCTACTTGTTTTCAAATGATTCACAAGTTCAAGATCTGGTAAAGGAGCTCACCCCGCTGTTGGCTCTGTGCATTATCATCAACAATGTTCAACCTGTCCTCTCAGGTATATAGTAAAGCAATATTATATAATTTTATAGTAGAAAAAATTGAAAAAATATGGAAAATTGATGGTGCATGCATGCTTTAATTTTAATTTTTGTCTAGGGGTGGCCATTGGAGCTGGATGGCAAGCTGCTGTGGCTTACGTAAATATTGCATGTTACTATGTCTTTGGAGTTCCCTTGGGCCTCACATTAGGGTACGCGCTTGACATGGGTGTCCAGGTATGTGTCTTTGTAGCTAAAAATAAAACCTTTGTTTATTCTGCCATTCACTCCATTAATAATTATTTGATAGATCGAATGTATCACTCATCTTTAAAATATTCAAAATGCCATCCATCACTTTCTTTATACGTATGAACGGGAAGATCAAGATAATATTCAAAATGCATGTTGAAGTATGTCATTCGATAAAATGCCAACTCAACTAACAGTCAAATGTTGTTTTGGTTTTGATTTACCTTTCCTTAGGGAATTTGGTGTGGGATGCTATCAGGAACAGTCTTACAGACTTGTGTACTGTTTGGAATGATATACAAAACCAACTGGAACAGAGAGGTAAATTTAAAAAAAAAAAAAAAAAAAGGATAGAAGAGTCAACTTTTTCTGCTTGAGCTGTAACATAACAAAATTAGAAGCATAAATTTTCTTCTCCATTTTAATATATTATTGCAGGCTTCAATCGCTGAGGAGAGGATAAAGAAATGGGGAGGAAACATTGAATCTAAAGACGACAATGTGGAAAATAATGCAGAAGACATTATGATTGCAAATGAATGACTTAAATGACCTTTTGGCTCATTATGACGTATTAAGTGAACTTTCAATTTCGTCAGTTGCAAGATCATCTTTCGCTATATGCCCATAAGAGGAGATAAATTTAATAACTTTACATATGATGACAATTCTCTGCAAGAATATTCAAGCTCTCCATTTTTTTCTTCAAAATGAAAAAAAAAAAAGGAAAATCTTGGAATGCTTTGTTCTCTCTAAGATTAATAGTGTCCAAATATCCACTTCCTTTCATTATTTTTTTTCTTTTTTTCTTTTCGCCGGTGAGAAAGAAATTGAGAGAAGTTAATTTTATTAGTTGACGTACTATCCATAACTATGAACTTCATCTAGGCTTAATTAATTATTTTTGGTTTGAGGTGCTTAATAATTCGATGTATACAGCTTAATTTCCCCTTAATAACCATTAAACATTTTACAAATACCTCTTCAAATATATATTTGTGGATAAATATAACTTAGTTTTTCTTCAATTAAAGAAATATAATTAAGTATTTCCAAAAGAAATATAATTTTTTTTCAAAAATTTATTTTTACTCATTAATAAAATGATATCCTTTAACCATCAGACATAACCTTAGAGTGTTATCGTAGAAAATTGTTTAGAAGATTGAGAATATAAGCACTCCAATGCAACATTTCCATTACCAATGGTCTTCTTTTGTTAGTTGTTAAGTGCTTCTTGTTAGGCATTGATTATAATCTGTCCTATATGGATATTAATGCAAAAGAGCCTCTACTCACTCTCACGCAACAAGACCAGATACAGCCACACCCCACAGCAGGTAATACTTTCGTCTCCTCCTCCTCCATATTCACCGCCGGTTCTGAAGACATTCCTCCTATCACCGGCCTCCGCCACTATGCTTTGCCGAACCCAAGAAGCTATGGTACCTCGCCGGCCCTGCCATCTTCAACTCCATTTGCAAATACTCCCTCGGTGCCATAACTCAAGTCTTCACTGGCCACGTTGGCACTTTTGCCCTCGCCGCCGTCTCCGTCGAAAATAGCTGGCTTCTCCTTCGGTGTCATGGTATATACCATATTAACATCCCTCCCAAAAAATCACATATTTATACTTTTTTTTTTACTTTCTTGCTTAGTTTCTGATTATAGATATCTACTCCAAAAAAAATAAAAGGTGATGATATAATTGCTTTAACATAACCAGCTTGGCATGGGAAGTGCGCTTGAAACCTTATGCGGTCAAGCCTTTAGAGCAGGGCAGGTTGACATGCTAGGGGCTCACATGCAAAGATCATGGATCACTCTCAACTCAACGGCTTTAATCCTTGTCTTTTTTATACATATTCGCGGAACAAATTTTGAAGCTGTGATTGCGGTCGCAGAGCAAGATCATGGCCATGGTCGTGATTGCGGGAGCAGCCTAGGTTTTGCATACGATTTTCAGCTGGTTGTTGATTTTTAAAATGGAGTGGGGCCCGTGGGGGCTGGTGGGCGCGGCCGTGGTGTTGAATACGTCGTGGATTTTCATAGACGCGGCTCAGTTCTTGTATTATTAGTGGGACATGTGGGCGAGCAATGGGCAGGATTTTCATGGAAGGCATTTCAAAACTTACGGGGATTTGTTAGGCTCTCTCTGGCTTCAGCCGTGATGCTTTGGTGAGTGTAAGAAAATAAACTGAGAATTTATGAAAGAATAAATGCCTAATTAACTAACCATATTTCAGCAACTACTGTTCTAATTAACTAGTTTGACTATTGCCTTGAGCCTGTTTTTAGTAATATGGATTAATTTATATGGTTTAGTAAAAATAATTTAAATTGTACTCCTCACATTCAAATTTATCTAGGTTCATTTATACAATTATTTTTTAAAAAAATATTTTGAAACTCATAGTTTTAATTTCAAATTACTATCTCTTTTGTATAATAAAATAATATAAACTTGTAAATGTAAAATTAAAATTAAATGCTTTGATCACTGTGTGCTGTTTCTTTTTATTTTATATTCCATATCAATTTATATTTTCCTTAGTTAGTTGTCTTTAAGGATTATTTAGTTCTTATGATCATTATGCATATGCATTTGAAAATTAATATTAAGCAGAATTTTTGTAAATTTGTATAGTAATTAGAGCTATTTTATATGCATTATTATACAATTGAATATGAAAATTTTATCATAAGTTCACTACTAGTAGATGGTGTTGGGCGTAGGCCCCAATGGTGACGTTTAACCAAATCTTATGGTGGGGGAACAAACACTTAACTCAGTCCCTGTCCTCCCGCTCACTTCTAGGCTTTAGACTACCAAAAAGGGAAAGAAGCTTTTAATAATGGTACAAGCATTTTCCAAAAGAGAGAAGCGAAAAAAAAAGTTTTTTGACAGTATGACGCTATTTATAAGCATTGCAGTGTTATATCTGCATAGCTTAACGATTAAGACTTGACTGGTGTTACGTTTTTTTTTTATATGTACCATAAAACCATTTATTTATAGCTTTATTAACAATAGGATGCTTGTACTTTTTTGCATTTCAGTTAAAATGTTGTGCAGTTTGGAGGTCTGGTATTTTATGGCGCTAGTGCCGTTTGCCGTATATTTAAAGAATGCTCAAGTTTCTGTGGATGCATTGTCCATTTGGTAAGCTAATTTATCACTTTACTGATTTTCTATAAATTTTTGAACAATTTGCTCTTTTAATGCTGGAAAATGACTGAGTGTATATCATTGATAATAATAAAAAATAATTTCCTTCATCTCTTTTGAACAATATCTAATAATTCTAAAATTCAAATCTAAATGCTTATATATTTTTTTATTTTTAATAAAAAAAATTGAGCCCTTTGGAAAGAAGATTGAAATTGAAAAACCTTTCATGCCTTTGTTTCTACTTATTTCTACTTTCTCATCAAACTAAGTATTATGTAATGTTTAAGAGACAAAGAAAGGGGACTGAAAACACACCCAAACACTCCATCAAGTCAGGCATAGAGGGTGGCATCCACAAACTGAGTTTGCTCAGCATTTGGTCGTTCATTATCTTCTCTATATTTATGGAAACATATTCATTACCACTCTATGTGAGAACAAAAAATAAGGAAGGGGAATGAAAAAATTGGAAAAGGATCTCTCCATTACTTAAAAATCAGTGAAAGGTTTTACTGATTTATTTAAGCATGATAAATGCACTTTTAACTAAAGTTATAATTAAAATTTAATAATTCTAAATTAAAATTAAAAAATGAATAAAAATTAATTAAAAAAATAAAAATGATTTGAACAAAAATTTGTCATAGATTTAACTGAAAATATATATATCGCCCTTAAATAAAGTAATGAAAACTTTCATTGAATTTTAAGTAGCGGAAACAATCCTCCTTTTTTTTTAAAAAAAAATAGTGTATGTTTTTTTTTTTCTTTTTTAAATTTGGTTAAAATTTAAAGGAAAGGAAAATAAATGACATTCTACCCTTTTTTTTTTTTTTAATATTGAATAATGTATTAGAAAGAAGAGCAAAATGGTTTCATTTTCCTACTCCATTGTCTTTTAATTGTTTCTTTCTGCCTTAATGTCTTCTAACAAAGCTGCCAAAAATTGCAGCTGTAACATTGTAGGGTGGACGACCATGTTAGCTTTCAGGATAACCGTGGCTGTAAGCCACTACGTCAAAAGCTCCTAAACAAAGTAGCGAGAGCAAGAATCATTAGACAACAGTTTGGATTACATTAATGTCTTTCCTGTTTTACAGTGTGAGAGTGTCGAATGAACTGGGGGCTGGATATCCGAGAAAAGCAAAACTTGCATTGTTTGTGGCTGTGATATCTTCGTTTTTCATTGCTCTTGGGCGTAGCGGCCATTGTGATTATCTGTCGGGACAAATATCCAGACTTATTTTCAACCAATTCACAAGTTAAAGAAGTTGTTAAGGAGCTCACCCCATTGTTGGCCTTCTGCGTTACTCTTAACAATGTTCAAGTCATTCGCTCAGGTAATAGTAGTTTCAATGGGATTTTGTTGAAACATACATTCCAATAAGGAAAATTATAGAGAAAAGAAACTAAAATATGGCATGGGTTGGGGCAGGGGTGGCTATCGGAGCTGGATGGCAAGCTTTTGTTGCTTATGTAAACATTGGGTGTTACTATATCTTTGGGGCTCCTCTGGGTTTCATATCGGGTTCCAAACTCGACTTAGGTGTCAAGGTAATTCATTTCCATTTGACTACCTGTTCCAATTTCAGAGTAAAATTTAACACTTTATTATTATTATTATTATTATTATTGGTCATGTAATGGTTGGTGTGATAATCCATTGGCATTCGATGAACATTCAGGGAATTTGGTGTGGAATGTTATCAGGGACAGTTGTGCAAACTTGTTATTTTTGGGATGATTTATAAAACCAACTGGAACAAAGAGGCAACAATTTATTAAGCATTTTCAAAAACTCGAACACTCGTGTCAAGTTTCAATCTACTCTTGGTAATGACTAATCCGTGAGAATTTTGGTGCAGGCTTCTATTGCTGAAGATAGGATAACGAAATGGAGAGGACCTAAAGAATCCAGAGAAAACAACGTAGAACAATGAAGGCACATTTCACCTACAAATTTTACTACGGATTGGTATGGAATGCTCTCAAATTTCTCTTCCGAACAATAACTGAACAATGAGCGGTGATGTACGGTCATTTCACCATCCAATTTTAGTTCCCATTCTGATGAGATTCTCATGATACTGAGGGAATCCTGCATCACCTTCCCACACACTCACCGGTCTTAAAAAGTAAATATCATTACTGTTTTAAAACTAGAAATAAAATGATTAACAAGTAATACAAACCAACATCAAATTTCCCATTCTCTATCTAAAAACAAGAGCATCCATTTTAGGCCATTAGCTGCCTGTCAAAAAACATAATAAAAAAAAGCTTACATAAGACCAAAAATGATTTTCGAAAAATAATTTTTTTAAAATATTTACATTTTTTGAATTTAAAATTTTTTCTGTTGTTTAAATGATTTAATGAAATATTTTTCGTTATTTGATTATTTTTTGAAAAATCTATTTTTTTAAATAATATTAATATAACTATTAAAACATTAAAAATTATTTATTATTAAAGTATATTAAAATTATTAATATTTAAAAATAATTATATTTTAATAATATTTAATATTAAAATATTATGTTAATATAAAAAATACTTAAAATAAAACTATTTATCATTCTTTATATTATTTATTAATATATTAATATATTATTTATTAATAACATATATTAATATATTATTATAATATTTATTAATATATTATTATTTATTTATTTATACAATATTATTTGTAAGTAGAATTATGTTTGAAAGCATTAATAAATAATTCTACACATAAACTACTCTTTTTCGAAATATGTTTTTCACTTTACAAACCCGTAAGACAATTTCTAAAAAAATAACTTTATTTTCCATTGATCAATCAATTTTTTGTCAAATAAAACACATGAAAATACGAAGATCAAGTTAGCACAAAATGAACGGAATCAAATACTCGGTTAATGGCAAGAGGGAGGCAGAGAATTTATAGCCACGCAGCATATGTAACAAGTCAATTATCTATTATTCAGCAAAAAAAGTCAATAAATTTATTGATCTCAAGCCTGATAAAAGCATTCCAGGTATCTTTTATGCAAAGTGCTGTAAAGAGCAGGGCAACCTACCCACCCATTGCAGATGATCTTAATTCAGGGTCATGTTAGTGTTAAACCTGGATCAAGTAAATCCCCAGCCAGTTTTATTTCAAAGAAAACTTATCTACGTTATGCAGAAGGGCTGAAGGGGGTACAACTATTCCCCCATAAAACAAGGTCGAATCACAATCAAATCCCCCAGCGTTAAGAAGTGATGCTATCAACACCAGTTGAGAAATTATCCTTATGCCTCACTTTATGCATTTATCATACCGAAGAGCTGATGGCAAGATTGATAGAAAGTATAATGAATTCAATCAATGAAATCATTTTCAAAAGAACTTAGATCTGCCTAGCTCACACCTTTCTTTCTCAAAATACCAACTACATAGTTTCCAAATGATGGTCACCATTCGATCATCCCTTAATGGCTCCATAACCGATTGTCTCCACTTCCCCTTTTGCTTCTCTGATGATCTCTTCACCTTAACTTCTTGAATAGGTATGAACACAAAACAAGACAAATGTGCAATAACAAGAGATAGCAAACCATTCCCAGATTAGTAAGCCACTAGTGACAATCAAAGTCGGGCATAAACCTTCCTCCAACTAGCCATGCATCTGATACTATTTAAATTTAAAGACAAATAACCAAGGACACGACTTCATTTTGATCCATAACAGCTACTCATAAGATTGGGTTCTGCATGGTAAAATGGCTCAGGAGAATGCACCGTATCACTGAATTTTATCCCATAATTCTCCAATACAGAAAAGCACTATGCTCAGTCCACAATAAGATTCATTAAATTTCCATTGACAGAGCAAATATTGATGTTTAAAAAATAGATATATCAACATTTTTGAACCACCAGAACGTGAGCAGGTAAAGCTTATCAAATCCCACAAATAATAATGTTACCCCAATTGCATCCAAGGCTAGTTTATTGTTCGACTTAAATTGCAACTACTAATGTACATTATATAACTAGATTGACGAAATTCAACAATGCAAGACACAGCAAAATAAACATAATAACTCAAATCTTAGCACACATACGATATATAATTGAGCCAAACTATAAAATCTCATTTCAAAAATAACTCCAAACAACGTAAGATAATAATATAACAGAAATGTCATTCAGATCCAAAAACTAAAACAAAAAACCTAACCTAGGCGCTAAGCAGAACAGCACCACCAGCCTCCTTGATCTTCTTCTCAGCAGTTTTGGACACCAACTTAGCCTTGACCACGATGGGTTGATTCTCAGGCAACACACCTTTTCCGAGGACCTTGAAGTACCCGTACTGGGTCACGTCGATCATCGGCGCCGCATCCTTGTTGGCTTTTGCCTTCACGTCCTGTGGAACAAGAGACCAGAGCTTATCGATGTTGACGATGGGGCAGTAGAACTTGTTGCGGAGCTTGTGGAAGTACCTCATACCCACTTTCCCGAAATAGCCAGGGTGGTACTTGTCGAAGAGGATCCTGTGATGATGCATGCCTCCGGCGTTTCCGCGACCTCCCGGGTGCTTGCGGTGCTTTCCGATACGACCGTGACCGGCGCTCACGTGGCCGCGCTTCTTGCGGTTCTTCTTGAAGCGGGTTGTCATTTTTGGATTGGTGTGGATCTGGGGAAGAACCGAAGGGTTAGAGGCGGCTGAGAGACGGGAAAATGAGAGTAGGGTTTGTGGGGATTTTATTTTGGCGGAGGAAAATGATGGCGGGTTTTTGGTTTCCAGGTTTACCCTCTAGGGTTTTGTGATTTTACGCCTGTGGTGAGCGTAAACAAGGTTCGGCCCTTACGCCTTTGGGCTTTGGGGGGTTGGATTAAGAACGTGAACAGAACGGATATTTGGAATTTTATTAGATATTTGTATTTAAATTTGATTAATATTTTAAACATTTGAATTTTTTTAAAATTTAATATTATTATCCGAATCCATTTAAATAAATATTATCTATTTAAATATTCAAATCTATTAAAATATCAGTTTATTTAATTTTTTTAAAATATAAAATAAATAATAATTTACTTTAAAATTTAAGTTCATTTTTTATTAATAATAAATTAAAATTATTTTTTAAGGTCAGAAATTTTCTATGAGTATAAAATTTTATATATTTTACATATATAAACAGTTAATAAATTCAAAAATGGATTTAGATAACTAATATTATTCAATAAAATTTAAATAGATTTGAATATTAAATGTTTAGATGATACTATCCGCATTCACTCTGAATTCATCACGAATATTAAATTTTTATCAAAATTTATTAATTATCAATTTATAACAATCCAAATATGACATTAATGAATTAAATAATGACATATATCTGTTTATTTACTATTCATTGATATCCCTAAGTTGAGTCTAATAAGTAAATAAAATCAAAATTAAAAAATAATTGTTAAATTATTTTTAAGCTAAAGGTTAAAAAATATTTTATATATAATTAAAAAATTATTTAAATTTTTATTTTTTATTACAATCAATCATCCTCTATTTGCACTCAATTAATTCTTTATATAGATGAAAAAATTAACATTTTGATTTTTTTTGTCAACTAAAATAAAATTTCATTTTATTTCAATAAAATGGATAAAAACTTATTATATGACACAATTAATATATATATAAATTAAATAATTTCTTTTTTTTCTATTTTCTCTCACCTTTCTCTCTTTAAAATTTCTCCAAAAGTTCAATTGATTATAGTTTAAAAGTTGATTGATTAAATTTCAACACATGATTACATTTTATCTATTTAAGAATTTAATTCAGTCAAAATATAAGATTAAAGGCTTGATTTATTGTAATAAAATATTAAAAATTTAAATAATTATTATATAATTCAAGGGCACTTTTAGCCCTGTTAACTTTTTTTATCAACAATTAAAATTTTTTACTTTTAGCCATCTTGGCTTAATAATAGAGAATAGGCTTTAAAACCCTAAGATTTTAAATTTGTCCCACTATGTATGGATCTAGTTCAACTTGTATGTTGAATTTATCCAGTAATATTCTAATTTTTTTGGTTTGATTATTCAGTGATTATGGATGTAAGTAATATTTGATTATTATTGTAATTTATACCGTAATTTTAAAAAATATATATTGTCTTTAATTTTTATTTTTTTTCTTAAAATCACTTTTATTTCATTTTTAAAATTTGTTAACTTTACTCATTTGACGTCTTGTAGTAGGATTTTTGGATAGGCTCAAGATTAAAATGTTAATAGAATTTATAAAATTTAAGAATGATCAAAAAATTCTTTACGTTTATTTTTAATTATATGAAATTTATTTCTAAATTTTTAGTTTTTTTTAATTTTTAAAATATAATTTTCATATTTCAAATTTATTTAATTAATTGTCATTGATTATAATATACATGTACTATAATATTTTATTATATATATGTATTATGCATGTTTCCTATTATTATGAAATTTAAAAAAAATATTTAATATATTGATAATAAAATTTTTTAATTTTACAAACGAAATTAAGATGACAATACATATCTCACTTTTACTTTAAATTTTTTTTTTATTTTCTTAAATATACACTAAAAAGTCATAAATCACCATTTTAACAGAATTGAAAAACTCTAATGTTAATATATTTGATAATTTATATAAAATATATATCATCGACGAAAAATAAATGATTAAAACTAAACTATTAATAGTAAAGAACATGATTTTTTTGTGTGCATATAACATCAAACAAAAATTATCAAGTTGTGCAAAAGCAATTTCGACCTCATGTTTTCTGAGTTAAAAATATTACCTCGACAATTTAGCAAATTAAGGATGTGAAATACTAAAATTTCGCAAGTTTCCATAGCTCTCAACATTGAAAATAATTCAAATCCTTTTCATTTATTTATACTTTAAATTTGTATTTCATAAATTTTTGGATTAAAATTTAAAAATTTATAAACTAAAATTAATCTAATAAATAATTCAGTTAGATATAAATTCCATTATATCTGTGATTTCTCTAAACAAGTTAATGACACATAAATAAACATTATAAATCGTGTAGAACACCCACATGACACTTTAGTCATTTATAAATTATAAATTACTATATTTATAATTATAATTTTAAAATATATTTGAAAAAAATAAATATTCAAGTACGAGATACAAAATTAAATACTAATATATATAAAAGTATGGATGTGAAAAATATTTTGAACTAACGAAAATTAACATAATAGTTAATTATATTTCTAAATTAGCGTTTTATTTTTTATTATAATATTAATAAAATATATTCAATTTATAAATAAGAATAAGAATTATACTTTCATTGAAAATTTTTCATTAAATAATTATTTTATAAATAAAACAAGTTTCTTCGAAATAAAATTTTTCAAGTTTTCATTGAATTTTTTTAGAATTTTAATTTTACATTAACCTTAAAAGTAATAATCTTTATGTAATTAACATATGATACATTACTATATATGGAACAAATTTTACTTGATAAAATGTACTTTACTAACAATTATAATATATATATATATATATATATATATATAAACATGGGAAGTTTTTATTTTTTTTTTGCATTGAAGAAAAGGAGCACTTATATTCAATATATTTCTAAACCACTATTTTATTTTTTATTATAAATATTAATGAGATATATTCTATTTATAGTAAGAACTCTCGTTCCATTCAAAAACTTTCACTAAATAAATTTATTTGATAAACAAAAATGAGTTAAGTTTATATTTTTTTCAAAATTTTAATTTTACATTAACATTAAAATAAAAACTTTATGTCAATTAACATTTGATATATTAGTATAGAACAAGCTTTTCATATTAACAACTATTTTATTAGTTTCAATTATTTATATAATATACAATTATATATTCAAGATATATTATATATTATTTTTTTTTTAAAACTTAAAATTTTCTTTAATGCTAAAAGTAATAAATGTTACTTTGATAAATTTTGCAAATGAAATAAACCTTATATGTTTGTAAATATTTGTACAATATACAAATATATTCAATATATATTATTATTTAAAATAAAAAACAAATATTTACATACACATGACAATGAATACTAATATATAAATATAAAAAAATAAAAAAATATATAATATGATTGTGGTGTCAAATTAGAACAAGTTCTATCATTTAATTTTAAAGCGAAAACTTTACTAGATCTTTAAAAGGATTTCATCATTTATCAAATTTAATATTTTGTTTAAATATTTTCAAATATGAAATGCATTTAAACTTTTGAATTTAGTTGATATTTAGACTCTGTTTGTTTTACAAAAAATGATTTTTGAAAAAAAATGTATTTTTTTGTTTTTGTTTGACAAAAAACTGATTGACATGAAAAAATAACTTATTAGTCAACGAAAATGAAACCATTTTTTTGAAAATTATCTTTACTTTTTTAAAAGGGGAAAACAATTTTTGAAAAAGAACTATCTATGGGTATATCTACTTACTAATGTGCTTAAGTATAATTTTTTAAAATTTAAATTTAATTTGACCCGATCTAAAATATTATTGTATTAATAAATTATATTTTTGTTTAATTTTACTTAAAATATTAATACTAAAAGTCTTTTAATATTTTAATTTAAAAACTTTTATAGTTATGCTCAAATGAAACTTTGAACATGACATTTTTAGCTTAAGCTTAATTTAATCGACTTGAAATATTATTATATTAATAAAAATATTTTATTTAATTTTAATAAAATATTAATATTAAAAATATTTTGATATTTTAATTTTAAATATTTCTATTTTGTATATTATTAAACATAAATATTTTAAATATTTTAATAATAAATAGAATTATATTATTATTTTTAAAAAATATATAATACTATTTTTATTGTTTTATTAATTAATAATAAATTAAATAATATTATTATTTTCATAATATGAGTATTTTAAAAAATTGCTTAATATTTTTTAGTTTAAGATATATTATTTTATACTTTATTTATTAAGGTATTTATATTACTATTTTATAGGAAAAATAAATAAAAATATTTTTATTATGATTTAATAAAAGATACATTCAATATAAAATATAAATATTTTAGTAGAAGAAAATTTTTAAATAATAAATATTAATATTTTGATATTATTATATTAATAAAAATAATATTTTAAGAATAATAATACTATTTTAAATATTTTAAAATATTAATATAAAAATAATAAAAATTTTAAAATTTTTTTATATTAATATAATATTTTAATATTAAATAATATTATTAGAATTTAATTATTTGTGAATATTAATAATTTTAATATATTTTAATAATAAATAATTTTTAATATTTAACTAGTTATGTCAATATATTTAAAAAAACAAAATTTTCCTCTATTGGTAGTCGACCCACTTCTCCTCTGATCTTTGTGCTTGTACTTATCACTCCATGTTGATGCATAGCTGAAAATTTCCAAATGATGCATAAACTTGTCAAAATTTTTTCTAGATTAGCTCCAACTCACTACCCACCTAAGTTGAAAATGGTGAACAAATATATGCATACATTCCTAGAATGAAAATAATACAAGACTAGGCAAAAAAATGAAACAAGAACTAAGCTGGTCATTAGACACAGACAAAAAGAAGAATTGACAAGGTCATCAAGAAGTGCATAATCACATAATTAGTAGCAAAGCAATCCAAATAAGAAGAAAGCTGGTCATAAA